ATAGATCCTCAAGTTTCTCCAGACCAAGAGACTGTTAGAATTGTAGAGAGCTGTTTGACTTTGAGGTCCTTTCGTCCATTGTGAATACCAGCTCTTTCCTGCTGCTTAGCTGGCACATACCTCCTCCGCAGCTGAAAATTACTGTCTCAGCCAGTACAGACTGTTTTATAGAACACCGTAGATTGGATGGCTTTAGCAACACAGATTTATTTTTCACAGCTCTGGAGACAAGGAAGTCCAAGGTTTAGGTGTCTGGAGGTCAGGCTAGTGCCACACCTACCAGTTGACAGACACCTGTCTTTTAGTTGTGTGTTCATGTGATGATGAGAAATCATCTTGGGTTTCTTCTTGCACAAACACTGATCTTCATTTTAAGGTTTGCACCTTCCTGACTGAGTTACATCTACAGGTCTCATTTTCTATTACTGTTACATTAAGAATTCAGATTTCAATATATGAATTTTGGGAGATGTTCATAGCCTAGTCTTATATCAGGTCTTTGCTAAAGAATAAGGCAAGGCAGATGAACAAATGACTGTCAAAAATCTTACTAGAGATAAATGAATAAATTTATGGAACACCCTCAGGTGGTGTGTTCTTCCACATTGGTGGTTTCGGTTATTTTTGCCCTACAGATTTGTCTAAGAATCCAATAAATCTTCATAAGCACAGATCTGGAAAGCTCAGATATGCACAAATGCAGCCAAACTTTGCACTTATTTTTTTGTGTGCAAATACTCTTTTCATGGAGATGTGTTGCCATGATTTCAGTGACTTTTATGCATACGTATGAGTGAGTAAACCCTTTAGAACTTAGGCCACTTTTCCTTCTTCCAGTGGAATTGTTTGCTGTCCCGACCTGCAGGATGTCAACCTGGGGCAAGAGAGTCAGGAATAGGGAATGGGGGACAAGAAAGAATGACCACAAGATAGGATTCTGATCAAGTGGCAAACTTGTTTCTTTTCTTGAGCTGAGGTTCTAAGGAGCTGCTATGTAAAGGTTAACTATGTGGCCTTCCAAGCATGGCCTAGGATCTCATGCCAAGCCCTGAGATTTGGCTCCCAACATATTCCCCCTTCCTTGTATAAAAAGAAGTGGCCAAATTGTTCAGCAGAGGGGGATAGAGGCCTGGCCCCCAATTGGAGAATCTATGGTGACTTTTATAAAGGACATTTTTCTCTGACCTCGGGGACGGCTTCTCGGAGCCATCTGAAAGGCAGGACCATCAGGATGCCTTTTGTGGGGATGGAGAAGCTTTAGGACATTGACCCCATTATGCTCAGGCATATTCCTCAGAAGAGGAGGTCTCCTTGCAGTACCATCCAGGTATGCACCTCTGAAGCTGGCTGTGGGGAAGTGGGTTAGTACAGGCTTAGTGGCAGAATCCACTTGTTGCTTGACAAAGGCCACAAGTTGATTAAAGGCCCAAGGGCTGAAGGAAAATAATAAGGGGAGCCCTATCAAAGGTCCAAGGAGGGAAGGGAGGAGGGTGGTTAACCATGGGGAAGTAGTAGGAATGGGTAGAAGGAAGCAAAAAGGAGTAACCGGAGGTTATTTTCCCATACGAGGGAAGCCAGCCAAGCCAATTGTTGAGTTTGTGTCATTAAGGTCATTTTCAGGGGACATGTAGAATGGGTTGATCTGGACATTGGACAGCATTGTCAGACACAGGACTGTCAGCATGTGTTCAGACATACAGCCATCTTCTCCTGACATTGAAGTTACATCACAACATAACCATATTGAAAACACTGTACTTGCTGTAGTGCTAGAAACCAAAACTGTAGCAGCAGAAATAATTACTGAAGTGGAAATTCCAGCACTTAATAAACATCCCACAAAATACCCCCAAACAAAGACGCACTTGGTCAATGAATGGTTAAGTGATAAGAATGAGAAGACAGGAAAACCTTCAGACAGCTTTCAGAAAGGCCCTGCGCATAACTACCGATCCAGAGGTGTTAGCTACACAGCTCAATTCTTTGCCAGGTCTCACAACCCCCATGTATACTCTATTCCTAAGCATTATATTAGATTTACATCACCATTCCTTTTGGAAAAAAAATAAGAAAAGAAACTACTGAAAACATTTCTGGTTCATGCAAAAAGTGGAAGTGGAAACACTAAGAGCAGCGATTTGGACAGGGATTTTTTTTCAGGCCCAAAAGTCTCATAATAGGAGTCCCTCTTGACATCCACATCTCCTCCCCCTCCTGCATTGTAGAGCCAGCTTAGTATCATTGTCAACCCTAACCTCCCTAATTCCATGACCTCACTTGCAATTTCCCAGCATTCCCCAGGAATCAACAAGAAGAATGTTGAACTCTCCCCCACCATTGGCCACTGTAATAGTGGACGAACTGGCAGTTTCAAACATAATAGCATTAAGAACATTGTGTGAAGCTTTTTTTCTTTTACTCTTCAAACCAACCTTACATGGGCTTCTCACTAGTGACCTTTCCCTAACCTGGCCCATCCCACATTGTACTGTTGCACTTCATGTCTTATGAAACCATCTGGTCTGCCATTTTGTCAGATGATCAACTCTTGGAAGCAGTTGCCAACTCTAGCCCATTTCTTCTCTTTTCTTTTCTTTTTTTAGTTACAAATATGGTATGGAACATTTTCTACTTTATTTCAATACAATTTTCAACATACAGTCCACTATTTTTTCCCCAAGATATCTGAAAACTTAAAACAAAATTCCTATGGACTACTTGGAAACAGTAAATTTTAAGTAAAATGTTTACATTCTTACTTGAAAACAAAAATCAGGTTTAAAAAAATTGAGTGTCAA